GTGTTGTGTTGTCGTCAAGAGCCCCAAAAAGAACAACCAGTATGACGAAGTCAGGAGAAACACAGCTGCGATGCGGACTTTTCTTGCCTGATCAATGACACTACAACTGAAAATGGCTTCAAATTCGGAAAGAAACAACAACGATCGTGCACGCGTGGACCTAGTACCTTTCGTCTTCTTGTAATCAAAAATCAATGAAAAATTCGAAAACTTTGTCCGACAATTTTTTTGTATAATAAGCAAAAGGCCGGTTTCCGTGGGAATCCGTGTCGTCATTGAGTTTTCCTGGTGGTTTTGTGACGTAGACAAATGGGTCAAGCCGCGGCAGTCATGAGCTGCAAAAAAAAACAAATCACTGTGTGACGCTTGTGGCTCAATGTAGCTGAACCATCGGACCTTATTTGTCAGCTTGGATCACGTGATCCATCCAGCTGCCGCGTGCGGCAAACAGCCCAAATAGCGCTAACTCTGGCCTGCGAGCGTTTGCTGCGACTAGCGCGCTAGCGCTCGTGACATACACAAACGCGCTAGCCAGAATGCTTTGACTTTGATGGCTTTCAGCTTCTATTTTTTGAAAAGTAGCGCGCTCAGACCAGCTCGCTCACTCTTTTCCTCTTCCATTTTTTAGGGCAATTGTTTTGTTTGATAGACGAAGCTTGGGGTCTCTTTGGGTTTGCAACCCTTACCCTCCTGGAAAAAATCATAGTTGCTAGACTGCGACACTTCAGACCAGGTACTATTAGAGCCGCTAATGGACGACGAGCTATTTTCCGCTATCCGGAGCTCAAGCATTTGAGCCGCTAAATGGACGAGACTCCTGGGGTAAAGGATGCAGAGAATGAGGAGAAAACACTCGTATGGAGCAGGGAGTAGGTATTGTACTACTTCCTGGTATGGAGCACTGAGAAGCGGTAAGTCTTAGGGCAATTCTTAGCCAGTAATTACTTTCTCGCCATAATTATGTTCTCGTTTTTCGTGTCTTCTGTAATGCCAGTACACTAGCAGTACGACTACACTGTAGGCGAGAGTCCATAAGCCAGAGTGTGCAGCTCTCCATCTATGCAGCATAAACAAATTAATGACAAATTTCCTTTGCCTAAGGGCTGGGTTCCACTGCCGCTCCGCTGCACATCATCCACGGCATGAAACGTCATCATTACAAGCTGGTCCAGCGAGGCCGCGGCTCATCACCAGCTTTCGCTTCGCTGCTTGATACAAAAAAATGCAAGCCGCGGTCACGGCTTGCATTGTTTCCCGCACTTAATTGTTTTATTCGGGGGAATTTTAATTCGTTGCACAGGCCAGAACACGAGGATTTTTTTGGATTTCACGCGCGCGCAGGCAGGCTAAATGTCATCAAAAAACGTCGAGCACGATCGCGGTACCGTGAATGGCGAGTGTCACTGGAACCACGCCGCTCTGCTGCATGCAGCCAAGTACCGTGGAGCAGCGGAGCTGCGGAGCCGCAGTGGAACCCGGCCCTAACCAAACTTATAGCAATTTGAAAATGTTTGACAATTTTTCATAAAAAAACTTGACAACATTGTTCTTCTGTAGAGTGCCGCTGGCAACTCCATCGATGAACTCCATCAATGAGCGCATGGATAAAGTTTAGAAACCCTTCGAGCGAGAACGTGTTTTCAAAAAGGAAGCACAAATATGCCGCGTAACTTCCTCTCTAGTATGGCCCCATCAAAGCCACTCGCTGACTACTTACCAGTAAAATGGGGTTGGACGGTTGTCAGATTAGCTGATATGTTTTCTGCCAACACAACCATAAGCAGTTGTCAACTCTCAAGACTAAAAGAGCTTGCGAAGAAAGTGAGAAACCTTGGCTATGAAAGCACATGAAGCGTCAGAACATAATCGAGCAAACTTGGACCTAGATTACCAGTGTCTGCTCCAGAGCCGGGTCAGTACCTTTTGGAAAAAGAACACTGGGTTACCTGCGACCCGGTCGGAAGTCCTGTCGAGTACTATACTTTTTTATACTTCGAGGGTATACCGCCACTGACAGGCTGCATATGCGTGCAGATGCGTGCGGCCAGAGTGCCCAGTGCGAGTACGTTCATACATGTACATGTACAATCATGTACATCAGGAAGTCAAAAGTAAGTTTACGACTCCCTGACACACAGTAGCCGCACTTGAACGCATCTGGCTCTGGCCCAGTGTTGCAGGAGTTGTGCCAGGTAGACGTGTACCCGGTTTGTGTTAAATCTTAGAGCAGGTACTGCATACCCTATCATATCTGTGTACATGGATATACAGAGTCAGTGTTGTTGCGTCCCACTCAGCACCCTTCTGGTTCATTTCGGCACCAGCACTCTTTGCGTATGCAGAGCTGAGTAGAGTGCAAGTTCGGACCACAAGTACACTGTAGCAGCTAGTAGCAAACCTAACCTGTGCCATGATGCACGGTACTTGTGTGCATCTACTTCATCCCTGAGTAACACACCTGGTATATGGTGCACAATAGGGCACAGTAAATAATCAGCATGCATCGCAGTTTTCTGCAACATATTCCTGAAGTCACTTTACACCTCAGAAGAATTGCGTCGCTGACTGGAATTCGATACCGGTTTAGTTTCTCTCTGGGTCATTATGAATCATAGAAGCTAAAGTACCGTATCACCATGGTAATTCCTGGAAATTCGGTGTGTTTTCTGCCTTTTGTTAAAGGGGAAGTATACCCTAAAATCAAATTACCAGTTGTAGTCTTCTGGGTGCTGAGTCGAATGGTCTTGGTCCGAGGAAGCTGCGACGCTCCCTTCCTTCTTTTTTCCCAATCGAACCCGCGCACTTCCACCGAAACTGGGTGACTGCGCTCTACTACAGTCCATTTCAAAACTATAGACGCGTACCTAGGCAAAAACCGTTATGCCAGCATCTATACCACATAAAATCTGTGATCACTTTGTGCATAAATTTTTCCAAATTGGGCGTCTGTCATCCAATCCTTTAGAAACTATATGAGAGTAATTGTGGAGCGATCCTGAGCAATATTCCGTAAACTATTCTCAAAAAGTTCCAGCCAAATTTGAAATATTTCAAAAACCCTACGCGTCTATAGTTTTGAAATGCACTGTAGATGGGGATTTGTATGCAAAATCTCACTAAAAGTGCTATGTCGTTTTTATAAAAGCACGGATGACCGTGATTGGCCCATATGTTGTAGTCTTTTGGACGCTGAGTCGACTGGTTTTGGTCCGAAAAGGCTGCGATGCAGCGTTCCTCCTTTATTCCCAATCGAACACGGTCACGTGCTCCTGGGTGCCCAAATCACCTGGTCACCATGCCAGCAGGCGACAACTTTCACACCAAGGTTCAACTCGAGTTCAACTCGAGTGACAGGACTGCACCCAAAAAAGGTCAAACAGGCTAGTAAGTTGTACCCTGCAGGCACGGTGACCAGGTGACTGATGTACGCAAGAGCACGTGACCACTTGTTCAACCATGTTCGATTGGGAATAAAGGAGGAACGCTGCATCGCAGCCTTTTCGGACCAAAACCAGTCGACTCAGCGTCCAAAAGACTACAACATATGGGCCAATCGCGGTCATCCGTGATTTTATAAGAACTAAATGGCGCTTTTAGTGACATTTTGCATACAAATCCCCATCTAGTAGGGCGCAGTCACCCAGTTTCGGTGGAAGTGCGCGAGTTCGATTGGGAATAAAGGAGGAAGGGAGCGTCTCAGCTTCCTCGGACCAAGACCATTCGACTCAGCACCCCGAAGACCAAACCTGGTGAAAAATTTGATTTTAGGGTATACTTCTCCTTTAAACAAGCAGCAATGTGCAACAGAAATTACCATGGTGATACAGTAGATTACCGTGTGAAGCGGTGTGAGATGCAGCAAAGGTGAGCCTGTTACTGTGAGTCTATGCCCTAAACAATAAACTTTGCCGTGGGATGATTATCCTTGGGCTGCACACTCTGCACACTAATTGCTAGGTATATCATTGGTCTTGTTCGGATCGTCCATTACGTTTGCAGCTGTTCAAACTTGTTTTCTTGTGTATTACTTTATTGATTTATTTATTCTACTTGCCTTTCCTATCTTCTTGTGTTTTAGCATTAGGCGATTTGATCGCAGGACAAGAGAGGAGCTGATGGACGATCTGTCCAGTGTCCCTCTTGGTTCGGAGCAGCGCCGAGTGGTGACGTTGGGACTTGGGTAAGGATGAGTGTTCCCTCATGTTTACAAGTTATCCGTTTTGTCCTACACTAACGGTTATATGCAGAATACTGCTGAGTCAAAAATGTGCAACAATTAGCACAAAAACTGACTGATGAGATCCTGACATTCAACGACCTGATGCTTAGCTGCATCACGTTTATATCCGTAAGTGTTGGACAAAACGGATAACTCGTAAACTGATGGTCCTCTTTTTCAATTTTGATCCTTGGCTCTCCATCCGAGTTCCCTCGTGTGTGTAGCTATTATTATTTTTTTGGTGACAGTCAATTTTTTCTTCAGACTTTTCCCGTTTGTGTCTTTCCCTCAAACTAGTCAATATTTTTATTTACTTATTTTTTTGCCCAGGGTCTACATTCTACCTTTATTTTACTTAGACTAGGGTTAGCTGGCCGTTTACCAGTACTCATCCACACATATGTGCACATAGGGTCTACACAGAACTCTATCAGTAGATATTTTGTGTATAGGGGGTTGTCTATCCACCGAGATAGCACTATATTCTCCCACTCTGTGTGTTCTCTGGTAGCTATGTCCCTTGGAGACTATACGGTGCCAGTGTGGTGACCGAGGTCAGGCGTGTCTGCACTGGCATCGTCAACTTTGCCTACTGCTACGTGCTCCCCAGTGCTCCATCTGTGTCCTGTAATTTGTTTGGGGAGGGGGGTGGGGGGCAATACCGGTACTTCAGGTGCAGGGGGCAAGGGGGAATGGGGTGGGGGGGGGACATCATGCCCCCAATGAACCTCTCCAGGCGTTGTTCTGGAGTAGACTAACCGTGTACACATGCAGCACATAGTTTGGGAGCTAGAACGCGATCGGACTCAGGCATATTCAAAGGCAGTCTATTGTGATAGTAGTCCTGGACTGATCTCACTATGATGATATAGGTCGTGCCCAGCATCACAATGCCAAACATTATAAATGACTGTTTTTTTTGCCTGAGGGGCTAGATGAGCATGCGGCTAGACTGCCGATGGCAACCAACAGGCTCAAGGCTGTGTTGAGACTTCGTGTGTGCGACCCGAGTCAATTGTTTACTCGCCATGACCAGGCATCGCATTGAGCATCGTATGCCCACTAATATTATGTCACTGTTCTTAGTCGCACCGGGGGGCGCATGCCCGTTTTCAGGAGACTTCTCAAAACACATAAGCCCTGGGTCCTGAAGGTTAGGCCTATTGTTAATCTAAATAGTCCTGGCTACTATCCCGCTGAGTTCACTGACTTTCTACTGAACCCGTATGTATGTGAGGAAAGTACTGTTCTAACCTCAACTGCGGATTTCATCAACTTGGTAGAAGGTTTGCCTGTGCGGGACGATCATTTATAATTGAGTATTAGGGCTCAAACGGTCACGGTTTTACCCTAAACGGTTAACTGCTAAGCTAACGGTCGGTTTAACGGTTATAACCTATAAGCCACGGCAATCCTGCGGAATCTTTTTTAACCGTATATTTGACTACACTGTATACTTATTCAAAAAATGTACCCTATTCCGTACAACGCACACATGTACATTCTCTTGCATGCTCATTCATACATACTCTCACACGAAGAGACCAGATATGACCGAGTTGACAGCCCAGAAATAATTTGCGTACGCGTGCGACAGCCTGCATACTTTGCAACGACCTGATACTTAAAAAATTGACTGAAAAGTTACTGCGTAACCGTTATCTTTATCGGTTAACCGTTAATTCTTCCTAACCGGTCTGCAACCGGTTAATCGGACTAACCGTTTGAGCCCTATTGAGTATAGATGTGACCAGCCTTTACTACACCAACATCCCCAACGAGCTCGGTTGTCGTGGTATATCACACACAGGTGTACAAGGTGGATGCCCCTCGCCCTTCGTACATGGTTATTAACAGCAGTGACTTCCTTGATGTCAGTCATTCGGAAGAAAAATGAGTTCGTGTATGGTAACGATGTGTTTCGGCAGATCCAAGGGACTGCCATGGGTTCGCCTGCAGCAGTGGTCTATGCCGACATTGTTATGCTGTATTTGGAGAAGCGGTACGTTTTGCCGATCTTAGAGGGGGAGGGTTTAGAGGTTCAGGTTTATAGACGCTTTATCATTGCATGGTTGCGAAGGTCAAGTTCAGCGCACTTTAGATAGGATTAATAAGTGTTCGGCCCTCAAGTTTTCTCATGAACTGGCACATGATGGCATTGATTTCCTGGACACCACAGTTTTCCGTAGTAAGGGATACATGGCTGTGAAGCCTCATTTCAAGTTCACCAATCGTTTCCTGTATCTGCTTGTCGGTAGTAACCACCCCTGTAGTATGGGCAAAGGTGTGTTCACTGGGGAGTTGATCCGTATCCGTCGGTCTTCGACCCTTGACCACCACTACGAAGCTGCTGCCGAGCGGCCGAAGCAGGCTTTCCGGGCCCGTGTATACAAGCGCTCCATCTTTCATCTTTCAGACCCGCTCACTAGGAATGGATGCGCAGGGAAGGTATGTTGGTCAAATTGGCATGGGTTTGGGTTATTTCTGTAGTTGTATACAGTGCTCCTCATTGTATTTACCTGGGCCCGGCCTGCTGTCCTTCGCCCGTTGGTCTTGAGGTCCAGGTGTAATACCCCTACCATACAGTCCGGTGGCCAGCGCGGTTGTTGTTACACGGTGGAACATCGGCAAGAGGTTGCTTGCTCCATTGCCTCATGCTCAGTGTCCTCAGGGAGTTAGTATTTTCCTCCTGTTTGGATTTTGCAGTGTCTATGGTGTCGGTAATTGAGTTTTTGTTCTGTATGCTTTTCTGTGGTGTGTGGCCGTTGTTCACACATCTTTATTTGACTTGCTTCCTGGTGTGGTGTACCCTTTTGTTTTATATTGGTGTTGGTCTGGCTGTAGAGTTCTAGCATCCGTAGCTGCCTCAGGGGGTGCCACTTCTCCCATCAGCGTCGACTAATCCGCCGGTACGTGGTGCTATATTACGTTCAGTGTCTGTTCCATCCTGTACGGGCTGTGTCCTGCTGACCACACAGTCTGGGTCTCCATACTTTGCATGTTCTCATCGTGTGTAGTGTTCACACGTACATATATGGACTGTCACACCCATATGTTGTACATGTGGCTGCACGTGTTGTCTCTTTGTCGTACCTGCTGCTGTATTTGTGTCTCTGTGCTGCTGACCCGTACATGCTGCTGCGCTGCTTTGTTGTATTGCTGACACGTGCACCTTTTTGTGCTGATATGATATCGAGTACGCCACTTTTTGTGCTGATGAGGGCACCACTTTCCGATATCATGTTTCCTTTCGCCATGTCAGTTGTCAGTTCTCCCGTCGTCTCCTGAAGTGTAGTAATGAATAGCTCTCTCTCTAGCTCTAGAGAAAAACCACTTGACTAGTCCGTTTGATGTGTGGCGTGGCGAGGGTATAGTAGAGGCAGCTCGTTCTCCAACCGAGACGACATTTGGCGCCCAACGTGGGGCTCAAACCCACGACCCTGAGATTAAGAGTCTCATGCTCTACCGACACATATATGCACGCGGCACCGTTTGTGCTACTATCCATTTACATATGCTGCTTTCCACACCTGTGCTGACAGTCGGTACGCACCGACTCTGCACGCATGCACGCACACCATTACATTCTGTTGGCATCATATTAGTGAGGTTTTGCATTCCGAAATTCGGCAAAAGATTCGGCACGCGGGAGCGAGGTCGAAAATGCACACGAAGATGCGGCATGTTTGTTCGGAAAAAGCTCACTTTGCCGAACATATTTTTCGGATGAATTTTCTTGTGGAAGAGCGCTAGCGCGTGATTTATTCAAAGAGGTTTCTTATCTTGGCATGGCTTCGCAGGTGTCTTTGACGACATCAGCATCGTCAGCTACCTCTGATTGCTCCTCTCCACTGCCTGTCTACTCTCTTTCGCCTGGAGTGTCCTCACCGTCATCTGTGTGGCTGAAAAGACTATAGCGACACCCATAAAATTTGACTTGGCCATGGAGTTGGTTTTTCTGAGGCGACTGAGGAGGCAGGTTTGGCCCTCGACTCTTTGGGCCCGATCAAAGTTTGTCGGAATCAGGAAGAAAAGGAGCACGGGACAGGACATTGCTGATGCTGGGGCTCACGAAATCAAAACACATCATTTTCGACTTGCAAAATAAACGTCGGTGCGAAAATTCGACATTTTGATGTTCGACAAATGACCAAAGAACGCCGAGCCGAAATTCGGAATGCAAAACCTCACTATTGCGGAGCTTTAGTTCATTTGCGGGAAAGGCCAGATATAAGAGCAGTTGCTGGAGGGTAATGACAAGATTCTTCCCTCTAGAAACAACATGAAATTCTCTAGGTCATGTTCATAAACCAGTCAGATGTCTACAGATGTCAACAGTGCGGTGCCACAAATTTCTAACGTAGCAAAAGTATCGTGGAATTTTTTCATAAACTGGTGTTCGAGGTACACGGGTAGAGCCGACAAGAATCGATAAAACCAATATATCGATCGTTAATGATATTGGTTGATCGTTTTAAAAGAGTTATTGAATGATCGTTTCAGCCCTACTAATAATGCGAGAGTCTTTACAGATTCCAGTGCTCTCATGCCTTTTGCAAGTTCCGTTTGTAAGTCAAATGGAACATGGTTTGTGGTCAATACTTCAGCAGTAGTGGTGCGAGAATATTCGGGTGTCAAATTGCTCGGAATTGATGTATGATAACGGAGAATATACCAACATGTGAATCACTTGGAGATATGGTTTGCCAGGTTCTGTTCACACTCACTAGGCTAGACCCTCTCGAATATTGTACAACAGTTTTGGCCCAGGAGTGGTAAAGGGCACGGGCAAGCTATGTCGGGACCTGCTGTAAAGTCCGCCATACACGAGCTGTACGTCTTATCGGATGGGATATGCCCCTGATATTGCTGATAATGAATGGCCCAGTTTCATTGTACTGCTGTCCGCGATATTATATCCTTAGTGGCATTGTTAACTTCTCATTGCTTGTGGGGACGCATGGATCATACGTCCATCCAACACCTGCCAATCGGAACCCACCGACAACGCTGTCGGTTGGGTTGGACCACAATCGGTTGGTTTTTGAGTCCAAGATGCCGCCTAGGTAGCACACAGCATTGCTAATCTGATTTTAAATTAGCTGCGCAAATCCTGGCATACTGCCCGTAAATGCATCTAACTCCCAGGGTACTTATGAGTTTTTAGGTCTATGTGGTACTTGTGTCGCATTGGCAGCCACTGTTCCGTTCTGTATTTTCTGGTGTATGTGTCGTTGAATCTCCACAGAAAATGTGCTCGCGCATTAGAAGGAGGTGAAAGATGCACCTGCAGGAGAATACATGCTTAAGAGAAGGCAGAAACATGCCCGGATCCACCAGAACTATTGCTGGCAAGTCAACAGAGGCGGGTACTGATAATGTTCCAGATTGTGGTAGGATCACATAAGCAAAATTGACACTGGGAGGCACGGCGGTGGGTCAGCTCATGGCCAGCGCCAGCTCCAGTGGATATCACGTGCATCCAGTTCTAGTACTATAGTATGACTGCTACAAAGTAGTGCGGCCCAAATAGAACTCGGGTCAGGTGCCGAAGAACTGGGGGGGGGGGGGGGGGCATGTGTCAATGAATGGTAATAACTCCGGAAATCATGCTGGTGTATCGAGGGCGTGGGCCAATGAAGTGCTGGATTGATGGTGGACGACTGTACTGCAATCTTGGCTGGTCCCACTATCGCAGAGACAGCACTTCCTGGTGCAACCACCCTATCCTGCAATCTATATAATAATTATTATAAGAGATTTGTGTGAACGATTTTAGCATGATGCAAGTCAGCTTATTGTGCTGGGGGCCTGGCTACATGTCACTATAGCTTTTTATAGACTCGATCACCGCATTACGCTGCCTTGCGTTGACTTGATTGAGCACTCTTTTTGGTTAGTGTCAAAGTTATATGTAATATGTATCTGCCTCCGTGCAAAGCTCTCTTTGTGCGTGTCTTGCAGATAGCTCGCTGACTTTGATGCTTTGAGCCATTTTCAAATTGCTTTTTTTGTTCATTTCATATAGACCGTATTGCCATTTGTTTAACCTCCCGCTCTGAGCTCCACTGATGGGACCTAAAGAGGCTGAAACAGCTGTCTGGAGATTGAGCGTCAGTATTATGGATTTAGAATACACGATCTGGGGACAGCACTAGTAGTACTGTCTAGCTGTTTCGTCCTTTGTGGACTCATCAGCGAATCACGGAGAAATAACTCTTAACTAAGGATGAACCTAGCAGCCATGAAAATAGATAAATAATGCCTCCAAGCCAGAATTCAAGGCTACATGTGTAGGCCCGAATGTGCCTTGCCCGAGTGCTGAAACTGATAAGTCATTGAGATACGCATAGAACATCTGGCAAAGGAACTACTAAAGCCCCCACAAGCACGGTATTCTACTTCAACAAGGAAGAATTGTGAAAGCATGCACAGCCCTACATGTATAATGTTGGTATAGGTAAGCCTTGTTTGATAAATTAACATGACAAGGCGGGGGACGCACTGTGTTAAAAAACAGTGCTCCTGATACACTAGTGTGTCCTCGGCTTTGTCGCATGCTGTCAACCGATCAACACATACAACGTTGCATGCAAAACGGCTGCAGCCTCGAAGTACGGAGTGCTATTTTGGAAAATGCTAGATATACAGCCTGTACTTATACAGGTGTTCTATCAACTAGTGCCATTATGACAACGGTAGCTGAATGATACATGTACATAATCCCAGGGTCATCATTGCAAGAACCTCTGGGTCTAAGCCCGAAGTAACATTCAACTACATGACTGTATACACCATCATGTATACGCCATCTTCGTAGTAACTGAGTCTACCCCTCACCCACTACTGCCACTGTGACCACAATTGCGCACAAACAGAGGACCTTAGAGGACCTACTTCTAACTACAGTGCTGGCCAAAGAAATCCAACCTTATGAATAAAATTGCACCGGGCGCTACGCAGCCCTAGTACTTAGTAGTAAACATACTGGACCGGTCTGTGCTCTTGAACGCGGCGCTACGTTATTAACGAGGTTGGATTTCTCTGGCCAGCACTGTACAAAATACACACATGCACACACAACACTGCTAGGCTTTCCACCACCACACTAGGTTTTGAAATCGAAGAGTGGCAAAATTCAGGGCCAGACTAGAAAATCTGGGGAGACCTGATGGTTTTTTAAAGCAAAACACAGCCAACACTCTGCAGCCTCACAGCCTCAGGCAGGTTTTCCCGAGTGCACAAAATTAAAAGTTAAGGCACCACGAATACAGTCGGGCGTCACAGAACGTGGGACCCAGGACTGTACGTGTATACCTCTAGGAACACCACAGCCAATAACGTTTAAAAAAGAAACGCAGTGTCAATAGACTCAAGTCTCTGCTTTTCTGGAATACAGATTCTGCTACACATGTATTGCTCACTATCCAGTGGGATGTGCATCTAAGAAAGTGGTACAAGAAGTCAAGGAACTAAGCCTAAGGCCAGATTGCTGAAAGGTTTTGTGTAACGGACGAGCCTGACCCCTTGGAAACAACAGCCGTGGATGCGTGGCTCTACTGTAATAAATGTACAGGTACACAAACAATTTGAATGCAGAAATAACAACAACAACAAACAGGGAGAGGTGTAGGAAAATATACTCGGCCCCTAGTGAATTTGCTTGTGTATTAGCTTGAAAACTTTGGGTACACTTGTTGAGAGACCTAACTGCATGCAGCTAAAATATGGAGTGCCGTTGTCACCGACGACTTTTCCAGTAAAGTTGCGGCTAACATCTTCTCAGGTATTCCCGGGTCTTCGCTAAGGACGTAAGGGTGAATGATATCATGTGCGTCTTCTATTGCTGATGTCGCTACACTCGATGGTGGTGCTGATGTACTGATTGTGGTGGAAGATATTGAGATGCCGTATGTCTCGAACCTTTTCGCCAAGTCTCCGCGGCCATCGCGCAAGAGGGTCGGGAGCACCACAACTGCAACGCCACAGATCCAAGGATCGATTCTCGGACAAAACATTCTTCAGGTTGCCAAAGGTCCCCAGTGCTTGGCAATACTGGCCTGTACAGCATGAACACACCACACATACGCCCACACACCATGTACCATGTAAACGCCCGTTGCAGGAGAAGCACGCAAATCTGCAAATGAATTGGATGTGCACCCACAGATTTTCTCGTATAGGAACAATAGCTGATCTGAATCTGAATAAAACAGATCAAGACTAGTGCCAGATAACAGTCTAATCCGCACAAGGCAACTGGCGCAGCCATGTGAATCTCGGGCAAAATGGACAAACATGTCCCCAATTATCAGCAAACGGGTGTGCGTTACAGGATTGGCCTGGTAACTTCAAACAGGCACAATCCACTAACGTGGTGCCCCGTCAACTTCAACGGGAACACACCGATACAAACACAGCCCCACAACAGCAAAACGGGAACGCCGTTACAAATATGGTGCCCTGGCAACTTAACGGGAACGCACCAACACAAGCTGGCCTGGCACCTTCAAACAGGCACAACTGACAAAACACGGCATCCGGCAACAGCAAATGGGTAGGTACACCGTTACAAGAACAGTCCATCGCACCAAAATGCTGCTGCCACAACATTATACAGTGGTCCCTCTATAATCCGGCACCATTTGTGCCACGAAAATCTGCTGGATTAGGGAGGGTGCTGGATTAACAAATCTGATTTACTGCTGCAATGTGCATGAAGAGGACATTTTGGCTACTGAAAATTGTGCTGGTTTATCGAGGGTGCTGGATTATAAAGTGCCGGATTAGAGAGGGACGACTGTAGCAGCAGCACGCCAGACATGCATACATGGCATTCCCAAAAGCAGATACTTGGAGTCAAATTCATCCATCACACTGTTTGTTAGGGCTGAATTTTCCAGTGACAATAGCAAATCCCACCTAAGGCACATGTGATGAGATCTGTACACCAACTATAGTCACAGAATCAATGCACATTAGTAGAGCATAAGAACTCACTTGCGCTCATACCCTGTCACGTAGAGATGCTACTCTACGTGTACTGTTCCGATGTCCATTGGGGTGGTATGCCGGCCACTTGCCAGATGTAGAGCTTTTAAGCCGTACTTTGCCACCGTCTGCTTGCCGTATCACCACCTCACTTGCAACTCTGGATTCCAGGACTGTCGCTCCAACAATGGGCATGGAGCGGGAGCTAACCTGATAACAGTTGACAGCGTGACAGAGTATCATATTTAAATAAGGCCGAGTAAGGTGGATCCCTTTGGCAAAAGTGAACACAGGCTTGGTGCTACAGGCATAGGCTGTCATGTACCGGAATAGCCAATACCGGGCATGTTTCGTCGACAGTAGATTGAACTGCGACGGCTCCACCGTATATGGCCGCGTCTTAGTGACCAAGTCAGGTGCGAGACTCCCAGCCTCCCACACAAATACTCTTTGGCTGTCAAACGAGTGAATACTAGTAGATGATGCTAAATACTCGCTGGCAAACAATAAGCCATACAAGGTAAGTAGTATACTTACCCACAGCATAGCCTGATCTACAATATGACTGATTGGATCGTTGTAAGTATTGCCGAAAATGGATTAAGTCGTCCACTAATAGCTCTTTGAAACTCAGATGTTGAGCCAATATGGCAATATTAAAATTAATGTAGAAAGGAAAAGGACGTATGGATATGAGTGTAGAGTAACTGTCACTATATACTAAATACAGTCAGAAAGTGCAACAACCTGCCACTAAAACATTTGACGACCCGACTCCTGGCTTCAACACATCTCCGTAGTGTTAAGGAGAGACCAAAGAGGGAAAGGTAATACTGGTTTCGTCATCGTCCAGTAACAATCAACATTTCTTGTTCTTGTGGGACTGTAGCTTCAACTACTAGCTTGTGCTCATTTTCATTGCGCTTACCTTCCCCTCTTTGGTCTCTCCTTTTAACCTTGAACCTTCCAAGTTGGAAGGCTGTTGGTTAGCGCTACGGAGATGTGTTGAAGCTAGGAGTCAGGTCGTCGAATGTCTCAGCACTCTGTCAGTTTTGTGCCTAGTTGTTGCATTCTTTTTTTACTGTAGACTGTAGTAGCTAGTTACAGTGGTGGACAGCTACTCTTAACTCGTATCCATATGTCCTTTTCCTTTCTAACAAAAGCTCTATCCGCAAATATGCCGAGGCGGCTTGCCGTCTCTCGCTCTATGCCATGCAACACAACTGTTGAGCGAGCAGCTTTTAGGCCAGCCCCATTGCACAACAGGTAATAGGCTACTAATAGCGTAACGCAGCTAGGTAAACACGAATCGATGAAGGGGGCAGACTTCTTAGAACAAAGAGACTAGTTGTGAAGGACACAACATTTTCAGCAGTCAGCAGTAGGAGAAATGGCTCTGAATTATGCAGCAATACTAGGCTTACATGTTTGTGTCATGCGTTCTGAGACGGAGTCCTTGACTAGCTCGTCACTGGCCGCACTCAGAGCAGCAGTCGTCACTACACATGGGTTGGGAAGCAATGGACAAAAATAACACTTGCCATGCACACATGCACTGCTTACCAGCTAAGTTAATATGTCATACTGTACTGCAGCAAGCAAGGAACTGGCAATACCTGCACCAGGCCTATCTACTGTGACCCATGCCATTGTGAATTAGAAGAGGCAGCATTTGCCAGTATGAGCGGTGTGATGAACGGGAATGCATAATACAAGCCAGTCGAGCATTGGTACATGTACTTACAGCGTCAAGTTGGCTGCACACCGCTCCACTGGCCGTTGATTTCACAAGTACGCACGGCCGAGCCCATAAGGACATAGGGAGATGTGCACACAAACGTGGTCGTGTTGCTGAACATCAAGCCGTTCACGGTCATTGAGCCCAGTGCCGGTGGTGACAGGACCTGGCAGTCGGTTTGACCTGCACAAGCAGTGCATGCATGTTTGGCCTAGGGGTGGAATGATGAGTGCCAAAATTGAGGACTCGAGTACCCTTTGAAAAAACGAGCGAGTATTCGAGCGAGTACGAGTATTTTACTGACAACATAAAACAATGTACTGCACACACTCTCGTAACACTGAACGTATTACACCTGATACACATGTAGTCTTGCATGCAGCCTAGTGCAGGAAATAGTCTGAACTACGTCTTTTGTTGGTAAGTAGGGACAAGTAATAATTTCACACTTGCATGGGTTATCAGTACTGGTCAGAGTAACGGACGTGCTTGATGTACAAGCAAATAGTACACTGTGCACAAGATACTTTGAGTATTTTGCGGAACGAGTCCTCACTCCTTTCGAATTTTCGAGCAAGCGCTCGAGTATTCGATATACTCGTTTCATCCCTAAAACGTTTGCGTATGTGTGCGTGGCACAGACGTTGGTTTTGAATACATTGTAGTACACGCATTGTGTAAAGGAAATTGATGCGAAGACTGCCTCAACATGGCCATGCAAAGTAATAAAATAAATACAGCAGTGAATAGCGGTCAACAGTAGCTCTCAGGGGCGTACATAGGGCGGTTCCCGGGATGCCCGGGAACCAGTAAAATAATTTCGATGTGGGTAGATCTACGGAGAATGTTTTGATCAAGGCCCAGCGTGCATGCAGTGCATGCATGCCTAGGCGGCGTAGTCGCCTGCAGTCCGTCTGACCGTCCGAGGACGGTGACAAGGCAAGGTGTAAAAGTGCTGCTGAGGCATTTTTGTGACACAGCGTAGATCTACTGAACTTACTGGGTGCAACGAAGTCTCTACATACGAGTTACAGTGATTCCTTGATCTCAGAGTCATTTCCTTTGCAGTTTGTTTCGACAAAGTTGGTTAAGTTTTTGAGGGACAATCCGGAGGACGCAATACCATACGACCAACTGTTTGTTTCTACGAGCGTTATTGTACCGTCGACACAGCTCTGACGACGATATACTGGGCGAATGCCGCGGGGCCTCCCAGCGTGTCAGCGGCAGTGGGTGATGGGCAGATAACAAGGTAGCTTGCGGACAACATCGGTGGCATGAAGCCTAGTGACTGCCAAGCGTCTTGGCCCGACGGGTGAGCAGTACAGTGTCATGCCCCAGATGCTGCTGTGGCTGTCGACGTCGGCGGGTCGTGAGGTGCGTTCGCAGTGGCGCTCGGACAACTGCAATACTAACACAGACTCTCACTACTAGCTACATAGTACTCTGATTCTGGCACGTTATTTCTGCATTGAATAGTGATTGATTTTCCGCGCCGAATATCCGACGCTGCATGCATGTCCAATGCGCGTCAACAGTACTTAGCACTTTCCTTTTCCCGCGTTATCACCTCAGCTATGCCAGTTTTGTATGTGGAAAGTTGAAACCCCCTATATAATAGCAGTTTGGTCTATATCATTCAATATCTACCTTCACTGATGAGCTATGCATTGGCGAAACAGCTGTCTGAAGGAGTTAATCAATATCGTCTACGGAAGTGTCCTCGCAATGGTGATGGTTGTGTGCAGGAGGGTCTAGTCGGCTAAAGAGCGCAGTGTGGTGGTGGAGGTGACTCAACATTTTCTTCAATGGCCGAGAGCTCTGTCGCACCCTGTAATAATAATAGAAGTCATGGCACTACTATGAGTGCTGCTGCTGCTGGTGCTTACCTGGAGCTGGTGTGACCTTGCCTGGAGCTGGTGTGACCTTGCCTGGAGCTGGTGTGACCTTGCCTGGAGCTGGTGTGACCTTGCCTGGAGCTGGTGTGACCTTGCCTGGAGCTGGTGTGACCTTGCCTGGAGCTGGTGTGACCTTGCCTGGAGCTGGTGTGACCTTGCCTGGAGCTGGTGTGACCTTGCCTGGAGCTGGTGTGACCTTGCCTGGAGCTGGTGTGACCTTGCCTGGAGCTGGTGTGACCTTGCCTGGAGCTGGTGTGACCTTGCCTGGAGCTGGTGTGACCTTGCCTGGAGCTGGTGTGACCTTGCCTGGAGCTGGTGTGACCTTGCCTGGAGCTGGTGTGACCTTGCCTGGAGCTGGTGTGACCTTGCCTGGAGCTGGTGTGACCTTGCCTGGAGCTGGTGTGACCTTGCCTGGAGCTGGTGTGACCTTGCCTGGAGCTGGTGTGACCTTGCCTGGAGCTGGTGTGACCTTGCCTGGAGCTGGTGTGACCTTGCCTGGAGCTGGTGTGACCTTGCCTGGAGCTGGTGTGACCTTGCCTGGGCAGTACTGTGCATCAGAGCCATCAGCACAGTCGTACCAAACACCGTCGCAGCGCTGTGATGGCAGGATACAGCCACTGGAACGCAGGCAGGGCAGGTAGCCAGACTGGCACTGCAGTTGAATGGCTGGATACACATACCCATACACACAACACACAAAGCAGTCAAGAGATGAAGAAAGTGTCTGCTCGGCACATCTTTTGTACAGTCAAGAGATATTAGCATATTTGGAGGAGGTGGTAGCCTAAAACAGGCTCGACAAAAGTTACCGGCTTATGCCAACAACTCAGTGTTCTGGTAGAGTAGACGGTTCGATACCGGAACGCCTTGACAGCCAAATTTGTATAGACCCAAACCGATCATCAGCGTTGATTTTTCACTCGAAATATGTTTGTGGAAGGAAACTGGCATGTTGAAGTTTGCTCTGGGGCCAGAGTCAATCGAACTGAGCCACTCCTTTGTGTTGACCCATTGCCTCCAAGTTGCCCAATTTTTCGCTTCAAAAAAGTTCAAATCAGAGGTGGCTCCAAACCGGACACGTTTTAGAGTGCACGTCAAATTCACTCTGGGTCTGAAATTAGGTAATTGCTATCGCTCCACGACGGCCAGTACAGAGTAACAATAAGCCTTGTGTGTGCTTCCATTAGTTGTCATTGGTATGCGGTGCTTTATTGGCAAGAGGCGAGCCGCTGTTTACCTGCGACAAGAAGTTGATTTTTCGAAAGTCGTAAAACTCAAGTCGCAGTGCGAAGCAACACGCCGAAAACTCACCTGCTTGGTATGGCGCGTCTGGTCATCGCAGAGCCATGAAATTTTGGCTCGGAGTATAACACATCGTAGTCTCACTGTGACATATGTTTTCTAATCAAAATACCAAGAGAGAAAGTGAATATTGAGTCCGTTCCGGTTTGCAACCTGTGTCCTATTTGAAACCGTCGCCTCTACCCGGTGAAACACCCTAACCATACACCTACAAGTATAACATATATCCTAAGGACTCAGGCTGAGATGCCCGACTGGTCCTGGGTCCTGTGATTAGCACGATCATCATTTGTGATGATGAAAAGTGGCAGGTAACACCCAGACTATTACATGCTCTGTAAATAGGAAAGATCAACGTCACCAGAATCTGCCTTCCTACAAGCCTGAAGCTTCTCTACACAAGAGGGATATATTGGCTCTCTTGAAATTCAACTTACGATTACATGAGGCAGCTGCCCCACTCCAGGAACCGTCAATCTGGCAGATGCGCACAATGCTTCCCTGCAGGTTGTATCCGGAATTTCAGCCGAAGACGACGCTGCCTCCAGCAGAATAGTTTGTGCCCTGGGAGTAGCCGTTGGTCGGTTTAGCTAGCGGTGTGCACACACCGGCTGTACACGTCACAGGCACGTACACACACAGGCACGTACACACACAGGCACACACACACACACAGACACAGACACACACACACACACACACACCTTGACCTTGATACACAAGGATTCTTCATTATTTGCCACGTTTGAGCTGAGCTGCGATCATCGCGCTTTGTTGCAGTGTGCTAAAAAAACCAGAACAAAAAAACGGCCAAAAATGTGGGGCGGCTGAGGCCGCCCCAGCCACCCCAGCTGTGCCGGCCTTGCATGCCTGGTGTACGGTCTGAAAGATGAAAGATGGAGCTCTTGTATACACGGGCCTGGAAAGTCTGCTTCGCCTGCTCGGCAGCAGCTTCGTAGTGGTGGTCAAGGGTCGAAGACCGACGGATACGGATCAACTCCCCAGTGATCACACCTTTACCCATACTTGGGGGGTGGTTACTACCGGCAAGCAGATACAGGAAACGATTGGTGACCTTGAAATGAGGCTTCACCGCCATGTATCCCTTACTACGGAAAACTGTGGTGTCCAGGAAATCAATGCCATCATGTGCCAGTTCATGCGCAAACTCGAGGGCCGAACACTTATTAATCCTGTCTAAAGCGCGCTGAACTTGACCTTCGCAACCATGCAATGAAACAAAAATGTCACTGATAAAGCGTCTATAAACCTGAACCTCTAAACCCTCCCCCTCTAAGATCGGCAAAATGTACCGATTCTCCAAATACAGCATAACAATGTCGGCATAGACCACTGCTGCAGGCGAACCCATGGCAGTCCCTTGGATCTGCGGAAACAAATCGTTATCGTTAGTGCTGAAACGATTACGTTTTTTCCTTAGTGGCTTAGCTGATACCATAACGATAGGCTTATCGGCTAAACGATTATTATTGTAACTACAACAGTACAATGTACATTCTGTGAATTTCAAATTTTTTACGAGTCCAACATCGCCAACGACGGAAACCGGGTGCATAGATCCGATGATCCCGCAAAAGTCCGTCAGTTGTTCGGACTGACCAGACGAATACAGACAAGACAGGGGCGACGCACTGGTTGCAACCCAAGAGCTGACGGTGCCCTTCGCCTGTGACTTCGCTGGCTCCGGCGATGAAGTCAGAGAAGCCGGCCAGGGGTGCAGATCGGTGGATTTCGAAAGATGAGCTGACTTGAGGCGCGCCAACAAGTAACTAGTTGCTTTTCCTGTCTTTGCTCAAGTTAGGCCTAAACGCTAGGCCTAGCTTGTCGTCGATCAAACTGATTCGGGAACCGTTGACAGAACAGAAAACACGAAACTGAAGACCACTTTACTGTCTTTAGCTCAAGATTACTCGCACGTGGAGGGAACTCCAGCCCCTGCAGCTAGTGTAGACACATACTGAGCCTGCCAGTCCTGCATGCTGTATCTAAGAAAATAAGTCAGCTGAAAAGACGGCGACGGTGATCGCGGCGATGTTTCTCAGATCGCGCTTGTACTTTTACACATACATCGATATTGCAAGTGTACAGTCATGTACATATTCGTGTCGTACTCGCAACACTTTCGGTGCATGCACGCTTTGTGCACCCCCCCCCCCCCCCCTCAAAAGGAGGGAAATCCCATACCGAGCGCAACTACCATTCTACTCGTTTAGCCGATAAAATCGAAATAACCGCTCGACCTATTTCTTATCAAGTAAGTAACGAGTAATCGATATAATCGTTTCAGCACTAGTTATCGTACACGAACCCGTTAGTCTTCCGAATGACTGACATCAAGGAAGTCACTGCTGTTGTTAACCGTGTACGAAGGGCCGGGGGCATCCACCTTGTATACCTGTGTGTGATATACCACGACAATGCCACGTGACCGAGCTCGTTGGGGATGTTGGTGTAAAGGCTGGTCAGATCTATACTCAAAAATAAATGATCGTCCCGCACAGGCAAACCTTCTACCAAGTTGATGAAATCCGTAGTTCAGGCCAGAACAGTACTTTCCTCACGTACATACAGGTTCAGTAGAAAGTCAATGAACTTAGCGGGATAGTAGCCAGGACTATTCAGACTAACAATAGGCCTAACCTTCAGGGCACAGGGCTTATGTGTTTTGATAAGTCTCCTGAAAACGGGCATGCGCCCCCGGTGCGACTAAGAACAGTGACATAAAATGGTCATACGATGCCCAATGCGATGCCTAGTCATGGTGAGTAAACAATTGACTCGGGTCGCAAACACGAAGTCTCAACACAGCCTTGAGCCTGTTGGTTGCCATCGGCAGTCTAGCCACATGTTCATCTAGCCCCTCAGGAAAAAAAAACAGTCATTTATAATGTTGGGCATTGTGATGCTGGGCACGACCTATATCATCATAGTGAGATCCGTCCAGGACTACTATCACAATAGACTGCCTTTGAATATGCCTGAGTCCGATCGCGTTCTAGCTCCTGCATCCTGGGCAAAAAAATAAGTAAATAAAAATAATAGCAACACATGAGGGACCTCGGATGGAGAGCCAAGGATTAAAATTAAAAAGAGGACCATTAGTTTACGAGTTATCCGTTTTGTCCAACACTAACGGGTATAAACGTGATGCAGCTAAGCATCAGGTCGTTGAATGTCATGATCTCATCAGTCAGTTTTTGTGCTGATTGTTGCACATTTTTGACTCAGCAGTATTCTGCATATAACCGTTAGTGTTGGACAAAACGGATAACTTGTAAACATGAGGGAACACTCATCCTTACCCAAGTCCCAACGTCAGCACTCGGCGCCGCTCCGAACCAAGAGGAACATTGGAGAGATCGTCCATCAGCTCCTCTCTCGTCCTGCGATCAAATCGCCTAATGCTAAAACACAAGAAGATAGGAAAGGCAAGTAGAATAAATAAATCAATAAAATAATAAACAACAATACAAGTTTGAACAGCTGCGAACGTAATGGACAATCCGAACAAGACCAATGATATACCTAGAAATTCTAGAAGGCACTAGGAAACATCCATACCTGCTCAAACTGAA